GAATCCTCCGTGTGGCCTTTGCAGAGAATATACACATCTGTGTAGGTTAGGGCTTAGAATCAGGCAGATGACTTAGACCCCTGGTAGCCCGCTGCCATGCCTGGCCTATCCTTACACTTACCCTGTGCAAGTGCCTGGTGACCTTGACTGCCGTGAACTGCACGTGCCCAGTATGTGCCCTGCCATCCAAACTTGGGCAGCCAGAACTCTTCAGAACTGTGGAGCTCGGGTTCATCCCTAGCCACCGGCATGGCCTGAAGTGTGGAGGGACCCCACCTGAAAATCACTCTGAGGCATCAGCTAAAATGTGTGGCAGTCCCCATGTGGACTGGCTGGCTGTCGGGTCCTGGGCCTCTGCTGTGATCAAGGCTCCCAGTTGTCTCTTACTGGAAGATACCCTGACCAGGCCTTGAAATCCAGCCCAGGCAAGGCAATCCACACTCCTCCAGCTTTGCCTTTGGGGTAAATATTCACATTAGATGCCACGGATCCCCAAGAGACCCTCCTTGCGATCTTGTTCTGCTGACACTGCCCAGTTCCAGTGACCTTGGCTGCCCTGATAAACACAGACCTTATCAGCAGTCCTTCCCAACCACCTGCACAGCCCCCGGGCAGAGGAGAGTGCCCCTCGGAATCTTTCAGAGGGGACAGCTTTAAACTGGCAACAGTCCCCATGTGGACTGGATGCCTACTGGTATCCTGGGGGTCTCTCAGTGAAAGCTATCCCAGCCAGTGTGCCCACCCCACCTTGGCAAGGCCGTCCAGGGTCCTCCAGCTGTGCCCACAGGGCAGTATGTGTGTGAGCATAGATAAAGCCTGAGAATTAGTCAGAGGCTTTGTGCTCTCAACAACCCACTCTGGGAGCAGCCATCACCCGGCACTGCGGGGAGCCCTCGTGAAGTCTGTTCACACCCCTGCAGCCTGCCTGGGGCAGTGGAGACCCTCCAGCCCTGCAGAATGCCTACTGGTCTTTAACCATCTGTATGGGCTCCATGATGGAGGGAGCCTGCTCCCTAAAATCTTTCTTAGCCAGTTGGCTCATATTGGAGAAAGTCCCCATTTGCTGGCTGCCTGATGTGGTCTCGGGTTTCTCCAGCAATCAAAGCTCCCAGGTGTCTCTCTGTGAAGGCGAACCCTACCAACAGCCCTCCTTGGCAAGGCAGGACAGAGTCCTCCAGCCTTACCTTCAGGGGAACTACTGAATTGCAATTGTGTAGCTTAAGGACTGAGAATTAGGCAGATGCCATAGTGCCCCAAGATCCTGCATTTTAGACCCGGCCTTCCGACACTCGCCAGTGGCACGTTCCGTGGTTTCCTTGACCTGCACCACCCATACACGCACAGCACAAGCTGTTGGCCAGTCTTGGGCAACTAGAGCCTCTGGGCCTGTGGAGTTCGGGCCCATCCCCCATCACCAGCCCTAACTTGATGTAACATCAAGTCCTCGTTTTGACTGCTTGATGGAATCCAGGGCTTATCAGGAATCTAAGCTCCCAGGAGTCTCTTAGAGGATCTCCCCGATAGCTTGCCTGGCCCTGCCCTGGCAAGATGGTTCAGATTCCTCTAGCTTTGCCTTCAGGGGGAATATGCATATTTGTCGAGGTTAGGTCTTGAAATAAGGCAAATGCTGTGGACCCCCATGGCCCGTTTGTGACATCTGGCCTTTCCCTACACCTGGCCTGTTCCATGCCCCTGCCTACCATGACCTGCATGGCCCATGTATGCACCCCCATGAGTTGGCTCTGGCCACTGTGGTCCTGCAGATCAATGGAGCTCAGGCTGGTCTCCAACCACCTGTATAGCCTTGTCCAGTGGGAGCCCACCTACGGAAATCGTCGAGGCTGCAGCTTAAAACTGGCAACAGTCATTCCCAATTGTGGTGGGCTGCCTGATGTGGTCCCAGGCTTCTCCAGAAATCAAGCCCCTTGGGTGTCTGTAATCAGAACATACCCAGGCCAGCTCTGCAGGTTCAACAGGGTCATGAGCTGGAGGGGGATAGGTCACAGGCTTGCTGAGCCTTACCACAAAGCTTGGAGGCTTTCAAAGGAAATACATTTAAACTATTTTATTAATTTTTTAAAAATACAAACAGAAACAATAGCATTATTACTTTTAGTGATAGGAAGTCCCTGGAACTTCTCTGCCAATCTTTGAAAACGAACTGGGAAACTTAAATTTACGGCAAAGGTGAAAAACCTCCAAAGTCCAGAGACAGTGTCTGATTCTACAACAGCTTCTTCTAGAAGTCTGGTATCACTCAAGAAGTAATTCATCTTAATGCAGAATGTAATTAGAGTTTTTCTGTGATAATAATTAAACAGCGATGTCTGGTATCATGTATGGTATCATATGCCCACAAGTCCCTGTTCTAAGTCAAAAAAACAGACGCCGAAAGTAATGAAAGATTAACTACCAGATACCCAAAAGAAAATCTAGAAACTTGAAAAACAAAACAACTGAATAAAAATTAACTTAAGAGGACATTAGATAATAAATTTTAATTATTTCACATTTAAAAAATATAAAGCTTTATGTTTTAAAAATAATCATTTTATTCATGAACAGAGCCAAAACGAATATACAGCTTCTTTTTAAAAAGTAAGTTTTGAAATAGTAGATAGAAAACTGACAATAGTTTTAGTTGATTGCACTTATACAAGGAAGGAAAAGTGTTTTTTTAACAAAGCCTGAACATTAAAAAAAAAAAAAGTGCCATTTTAAAAGCTTTTGCTAAATTATATTGAAAGGAAGTGATGAAAAACCACATTCAACTGAATGAAGAAACAAAAATTTTTGTTTCATTGGTGATTCGAATCACTGATAGAGGAAATGGTTATACACATTTCATACTGGTTCTTCATAGATCTGAGGTAGCTCAGGTCATCAGGCCAACAGAACAATTCTACAAGGCACCATTGGTTTTGTGTGACAGAACACTGGCTGGCACCTGAGATCTAGAAATACAGAAAAAAATTCAAACGTGGTATATAATTTTTCTTCAATTTTCTCTGATTTTATATTGGATTGATACTGGTATGATATTTACTATGCTTTGTCTTTTTGTTCAGGCAGGTCTTTCCTCAAATCTACTTGAGAGATTCCTTCACAAAGTTGCATATGTAAATAGTTCTTTCAGGTACGTCCCTACACTCAACTGAACACCACCTTAAGGCCCTGGTTAGAACAGATTTATATGTTTTTCCTGTGACAGATATTTTCCAATAGGTTCCTCTCCCATGTCTCCGTAATCTCCTTTTCGGGATCAATAAAGATCCCTGTATCTTCCTAGTGTTTCAAAAAAATCCTTCCATGTTTTAATCATGTGACTTCCTTCATGCTTTAATCGTCAAAATGCTTAAAGCATGAAGGAAGTCACATGATTAAAGGATGGAAGCGTTCTGGAAACACTAGGAAGATCTATATACATACACACATATATATATTATATATACATACATATTCCACTCTCATAACAGCAGAGGCCAAAACCTAGTTGCAATATTCCAAGATCATGGTAATAGTCCCCAGGTATGCCGTGTCATGGAACAGACCTTTCCTTAGGTCAAGATAATTTTAGTAGAGTTCTGCCTTCAGAGCTGCAATGCCAATCAACTACTATCTCCATGAACACTGTTCTCAATCTTTCTTATAATCACAGAACACGGTTCAACAACTAATATTGGTCACTAAAACCTCTTAGAATCTATTTACCATGTCTGCTTCCTTTTGCAAAGTATAATACCTCTTGCATTTCTTTAATTATTAGCCTAATGGTATTTCTAACCATCTAGTCGAGAAATGAGCTGCATTATATAATGTTCCATCACTGTGTAACAAGTAAACAGCATGGTGCAGTTAGTTACTGTACCCATATAAAACCTACTGTTCGATTAGTTCTTAAAAATCTGTTCTGCTTAAATGGTACTCAAACTCTCATCCTAGACAATTATAAAATTCCATTCAGGGGAGACAGAAATGATGATCAACAGAGATTAACAACAGCGTCAGAAATATGCTTACCAAATACTAACTTATACATTCTTCTTTTCATCTGTACGTCTTTATCTTTCATAAATAGCATGTCTGTACAATAAACCTATATTTCATCTTCTTCCAACTCATAAGATTTAATACATTCATTATTTTCCTATCTCCTAAGTTTTTTTTTTTTTTTCACTTAACCAGCAATTTTCAAATTTCATTATCAGTGGAACTCTTTGTTCCAACGAAATCTTTTTTTTTTTTTTAAAGATTTTATTTTTATTTATTTGACAGACAGAGATCACAAGCAGGCAGAGAGGCAGACAGAGAGAAGAGGGAAGAAGGCTCCCCGGTGAGCAGAGAGCCCGATGTGGGGCTCGATCCCAGGACCCTGGGATCATGACCTGAGCTGAAGGCAGAGGCTTAACCCACTGAGCCACCCAGGCGCCCCTGTTCCAACGAAATCTTATGGAGGGAGACTCCCACTATATAAAGTGGTCAAAAGCAGAACTGCTCTGATCGGAAGGGGAGGGCTGTCAGTAGACACAGCTTAGAAACCACTGCTCTAAAACATTCAAGAAGCTGAAGAAAAGATACCGTCCACTGGAACTTCTTCATTTCCAATGATTATAAACAATCTCCCCCTTGTTTCCACTTTTTAAGAACATTTCTTAAGGACAGCTACTTTTACCTCAGCCCATTAATGGAATAAAAAGCATAGAGCCCTACATATAGCTAAGTATTTGAATTCATATTTCTTTTTAAACTATTCAAAAATGCAAATTAGTGTAAGATGTAATCCCATGACTGGTTATTAAAATCAGTTTAAAAAATATTTAAGATGTGATAGAAAAAGGTTTTTAATTACCATTGCTTCGTAACTGTAATTGCTCTAGTCCAAGTCCAACACTAGCCAAAAGGCTCGTTAATCAAGAAAACAAAAATCACTCTGTAGTCATTCTGAGAAGGTTTTATCTTCTCATGTAATGATTCTGTGGCTATATTTTTGGATTAAAAAAAAAAAAAAAAGCTTCAGTTATATATTCTATGCATATTTTAAACCTGATTGGCTTGAAAGGCCAGGAAAAGAGGTCACGTTTTGTCAAACTTAGAAAGATAATACAAAAGTTAAAAAATGAAAAAACTTTTTTTTCTAAAATAAGCTCCTTTGTGCTTGCCAGGCTTTTCATCAACCTCCTTCCACAGAAACAGGTTTTTAAACTGACTTTTTAATAAATCCGTGCCTTCTGAAACCGACTCGGTGCTTAGCTTATAAAAAACACCCCTGTTCTTCTATGTTCCTCACAGGCTGGACGGGCAGCACCAGGTGTGAAATGCGGCTCCAGAGCCCACTCAGCTTGTCCGAGTCCATGTGGTTGAAGGAGTGGGGAGTGTCGGAGTTGGTGAACTTGGCCCAGAGTAAATCTCTCACTTTTTCCTCAGTTTCTCTTGGGCCAACACTTGCTTCTAATGTCTCCTCCTCCAGGAGAACAGTCAGCACCAGGGCCACGTCTTTGAAGGCGGCATTCTCATGGTCACAATACTTGTAGAAGATCAGGGTAGAGCCCGCGGGAAGGGATTCGAAGTGGTGTACCACAGCAGCCTTCTGGCCATTCTCAAATCCCGAGCTCAGCTCCATGTCAACCAAGTGCTTGACCGTGTCACTGTCCTCCAAGGTTCTTCCAGCCCCGTCGATCTGAATGGCGGAGACTTTCTGGGAGGAGGTGTAGGCATCTGCGACGAGGTGACTCAGGCACTTCAGGGTCTCTCTTCCCTCTTGAGCTGCTGTAAATATGATGGTGGCTGGCTCGGTGGGTTTCGAAGCATTGAGGTGCTTCTGGAGAAATTTACGTCCTCTCTGCCACAAGAAGGAGCTCTGGCCTGGGAATTTATCCTTCAATTGGCTAAACTGAGCCAAAAAGGCCTCTAAAGCTGGATTTTTGGGCACTTGCTGGGCTGGAGAGGAACAGTAGCTATTAACAAAACTTATCAAAACAACAGTCATAACCAGGAAGCAAAGAAAGATGGAGCCTGTCGGAAAATAGGATAATAAAATACAAAATTAGAACATCGACCAGAAACAAAACCTGAGGTAAACTGAAATGCATTAGAGATCCTGTCAGATTTTACTAACTGTGGAGAGTTTCTTTTGCCTATATCCTCTAAAGTTTGAGATATTAAGGTCTACCAAAAATACTTACTCTCTAAGTTCTTAAATTATTTGAAGATAAAATATTTTTGTTAAAGGGTGTAAGTTAAGTTTATGTATTTGTTGCTATGACTAATGATGTGACTTGGAACTATTGGGACAGTCTCCCACCTTCTCGAAGTACCTGTTACCCACAATAAGCCAATTCGTTCGTTATGGGTCAAAATGTGGAAATGCCACTTGAGAAGTTAATAAATACTCTGTAATAAAAAGCAGTTTTAGTTTCTTATTTATGAAAAGCCTTTCCTCCTATGGGAATTCCCATTTTGTTAAGGATGGCGAAATATCTGCCACGGCCCCTAAAGGAAAAATCCTTAAAACTCTATTGCTCTGGGGCGCCTGGGTGGCTCAGAGGGTTAAGCCTCTACCTTCGGCTCAGGTCATGATCTCAGGGTCCTGGTATTGAGCCCCGCATCGGGTTCTCTGCTCGGCAGGGAGCCTGTTTCCCCTCTCTCTCTCTTCCTGCCTCTCTGCCTACTTGTGATCTCTGTCAAATAAATAAATAAAATCTTAAAAAACAAACAAACAAAAAAAAACCTCTATTGCTCTATTTCACTATTAGTTATTATCAAGCACTTTTAAAAAACATATTAAAACTAGCCACAGTAATTAGACACCAAAGAGAAAAAAGAGGCTTCTAAATTGGTAAGGAAGAAGTAAAACTTTCACTATTTGCAGATGACACAATATTCTATATAGAAAACCCTAAAGACACCACCAGAAAACTACTAGAACTCATAACTGAATTCAGTAAAGTTGCTGGATACAAAATCAATGTGCAGAAATCTGGTGCATTTGTATAGGCTAATAATGAGGCCACAGAAAGAGAAATCAAGAAAACCATCCCACTTGCACACCAAAAATAATAAGATACTTTGGAATAAACCTAACCAATGAGGTGAAAGACCTGTACTCTAAAAACTAAGGAACACTGATGAAAGAAATTGAAGATGGCACCAAGAAATGGAAAGACATTTCATGCTCATGGACTGGAAGAACAAATATTATTAAAATGGCCAACTGCCCACAGCAATCTACAGATTTAATGCAATCCCTATCATGACATCAGTAGTATTTTTCACAGAACTAGAACAGATAATCCTAAAATATATATGGAACCACAAAAGGTCCCAAAGAGCCAAAGCAATTTTGAAAAAGAAAAGCAAAGCTGGAGGTATTACCATCCCAGACTTGCAGGTACATTATGAAGTGGTAGTGATCAAACAGGACGGTATTGGCACGAAAACAGCCACGCAGATCAATGGAACAGAACCGAAAACCCAGATATAAACCCACGCCTATATGGTCAATTAGTCTTCGACAAAGAGGAAAGAAAATCCAATGGGGGAAAAAGATGATTTCTCCAACAAATGGTGATGGGAAAACTGGACAGCTACATGCAAAAGAATGAAACTAAATCACTTTCTTACACCATACACAAAATCAAATTCAAAATGGATTAAAGACCTAAATGTGAGACCTGAAACCATAAAAACATAAAATCCTAGAAAAGGACGCAGGAAAGTAAGACCTCTGACATCAACCATAGCCACATTTTTCTAGGTATGTCTCCTGAAGCAAAGGATATAAAAGCAAAAATAAACTATTGGGACTACAACAAAATGAAAAGGTTTTGCCCGGCAAAGGAAACAATCAACAAAATTAAAAGGCAAACTACCTAATGGGAGAAGGTATCTGTCAATGACATGTCCGATAAAGGATTAGTATCAAAAATTTATAAAGGGCTTACACCAATCAACACCCAAAAAACAAATAATCAAATTAAACAGTGGGCAGAAGAAATGAACAGACATTTCTCCAAAGAAGACATCCAGATGGCCAACAGACCCATGAAAAGATGTTCGACATCATTCCTCATCAGAGAAATGCAAATCAGAAGTACAAATAGGTATCACCTTACACCTGTCAGAATGGCAAAGGTCAACAACGTAAGAAACAACAGATAAAGATGGCGAGGATGCGGAGAAAGGGGAAGGTTCTTACACTGTTGCTGGGAATGTAAGCTCTGGTGGTGCAGCATCCTCAAAAGTTAAAAATAGAGCTACCCTACTACCCAGTAACTGTGCTATTGGGTATTTACACAAAAAATACAAAAACACTAACTCAAAGAGATACACGCACCCCTATGTTTACTGCAGCATTGCCTACCACAGCCAAATTACGGAAGCAGCCTGAGTGTCCAGCAGCAGAGGAGTGGATAAAGATGTGGTGTGTGTGCATATGTACACACACATAATGGAATATTAGTCAGCCAAAAAAAATGGAATCTCATCATTTGCAACAACATGGGTGGAGCGAGAAAGTACAATGCTAAATGGAGTCAGTCAGAAAAAGGCAAATACCATATGATTTCAGTCATATGTGGAATTTAAGAAACAAGACAAATGAGCAAGGAAGAAAAGAAGAGACAAACCAAAATCACAGACTCTCTAGAGAGAACAAACTGATGGTCATCAGAGGGGAGAGGTGGGGGGAGGGGCACACAGGTGATGGGGATTAAGGAGGGCACGTGCCGTGATGAGAACCGAGTGATGGATGGAGTTGCTCAGTCACAAGACTGTACACCTGCAACTAACAGAACGCTGTAAGTTAACTGTACTGGAATGGAGACAAAACAACAACACGATATAAAACAATGTTAAAACTGTTGGAATCTGGGGCGCCTGGGTGGCTCAGTGGGTTAAAGCCTCTGCCTTCAGCTCAGGTCATGATCTCAGGGTCCTGGGATCGAGCCCCACGTCAGGCTCTCTGCTCAGTGGGGAGCCTGCTTCGTCCTCTCTCTCTGTCTACTTGTGGTCTCTGTCTCTCAAAATAAATAAATAAAAATCTTTAAAAAAAAAAAAAAAAAAACTGTTGGAATCTGTTTTCTAGTTCTAGGTTTCTCCTTTTCTCTGAGGATTTCTGAATGTGAATCAACACAACAATAAGACCAATTTTTTTTTTTTCTCCTACCATAACTCAAAAGATCCTTTTTATCCATCTTTCTTATGGTATCCAGTGCACTCTCTTTGTTTTCTTCCAACTCTTGTGTTTCTTGCTGATGACTCTCAGCCTCTGGGGAGAAAAGGAATATTATTTGCAGAAAATACACTAATGGGGTATCATATACTTTAAAACTCTTACCAAACCAAATCATGAGATTGAGAGGATTTCTGTACTTTGTAAAATCTTATACAAAGCTACTTTTTTCCTGTCTTTTCCTTAAGGCTATTACTTTTACTCTACTTAGAAGAATAAAATCAAGTGCTGTAAATTCATGTCGGGTTACTGTTGCTACAGTCACTATTCCTCACTGGTCCTCACGTCAAGGACAAAGAAACAAGCATCCTAATATTACAGCCAAACTTATCTACAATGTGTCTCGAGAAAATGTTCAAAATTAAAAAGGGATTTAAGAAGTGTTAGCTGTGGGCACCTAGCTGGCTCAGTTGGGAGAGCATGCAACTCTTGATCTCAGGGTCATGAGTTCAAGCCATACACTGGGTATAGTAAAGCTTACTCAAATAAATAAAGCGTACATTATAAAACACTTAAAAAAATTAAGTGTTAGCTGAACACAAGACTCATTATCACAGGGCAATGGTACTCTAACTCCAGGGTTCAAGTCATGTGGCAAGACTCCAAGTACACAAAAACAGAGACTCTAAGTTTAGAGAGAGGAGAGATCACTGTACAGTTACAAAACAGCTTATAAAAGCAAGTTTGAACTTCTTAGTGAAGGAAGTACAAAAAGCAAGGAATACAAAGTAAAGAAAATTGGTGAATTACATAAAAATGTAGGTGTGGGGCGAGATATCAATCTTAAAATGTGTGGGTGAAAAGGAGGGCAGTATTTTGTAGCCCTCTCGGTCACTCTACAGCCGAGATGGGTGCTTACGGTGTACTCCATTAACATAAAGAAATAAGATCATCTCCACCTATAAAGGGTCATGTATTTAGCCAAATTCCACCCCAAAAAATGGACTTTAAAATATCATATCACAGACTATAAAAGGATCTTTACTGATCCCCTACTGTAGCCTCACCTTACCTATCATGGCAAAAAGTCTAGTGATGTTAAGGGCTTTGCCCAAGGTCACATAAAGAGATGTGGCTAAGCTGAGATTAGAACAAGGCTTCTCATCTGCTAGGTCAGCTCATTCCATTATATTAAATTGCTTCCCGTGCACAGCCTGCATTTTTAAAACAGTATTTTCTTCCTCTACTCAGTGAACCTGCATACTGGTGAAAATCTGATGGAAGATTAATAGTTCATATAAGTCACATTCATTTATGTAACAACTATTCATAAAGTTGCTTCTCTGTGCCCGGTGCCACAGAAACACAATGAATGACAAAGACATAGTCCTTGCCTTCACTGAAGTTACAAACTATGCTAATTATTAGTGAATGAAACATATTATTTGAGATCTGTCACTGACTTATTGTGAAACATGAATTTCCAGTCCTTAGTCGAGTCCCTGATGAACAGAATGTCTTACATTTTATATTCCTTTGCACTTGGCAAATAGGCATTTTATACTTAGCTCTTCTGTGTACTTACGAAATACAAATCTGACTGTGCAATTATAGACAGTGAGAGCTAGGAGAGACCAGCTTTTGGATAGCTCTTATCCAACTTTTTCACACTACAAAGAGGAAACTGGAGTACCAAGGAGTTAAGAGACCTGCCCAGGGTCACCCAAGTTAGCAAGTGGTAGGGCCACAACTAAAATTCATGTCTCTTTTGTGTTCCAGTTAAGGACTTAGCCACTACAACTATTATCTTCATAGAAGATAGGATGTTTACTCTCCTTAATATACAAGTGGGGAAAATCATATAGAGAGAAATTAACTGACCTGCTCAAAGTCCTATAAAATATGACTGAGTTAAGGGCACTGGACCATTGATGCTGGTTTTTAAATATACCCATCTCTTGATTTATGTAGCATTTAGTTTTAAAAAAAAAAAAGATTTAAAAAATGTTAAGTAAAAATGTGTTCCTAAAAAATAAATAAAAGCCAGAGGTGAAGTTTTAAAAAGTCAATCTCTTTTTAAAAATCATACTACATTACTACAAACAGTAAGTAAATAAAAAGAGTTAAAGGGCACCTGGTGGCTCAGTCGGTTAAGCGCCTGCCTTGGGCTCAGATCACGATCCCAGGGTCCTGGGATCGAGCCCCACATCAGGCTCCCCGCTCAACGGCGAGTCTGCCTCTTCCTCTGACCCTTCCCTCTCTCATGCTCTAACTCTCTCTCTCTCTGAAACAAATAAAAAAATTTTTTAAAAGTTTAAAAAGGCAGTTTATGTGTTGGAAGCTACTTAAGTAGTGCAATGAGCTAGTCAAGGAGATGAGAAACCTCACTATAACCTCAGCTCAGTCATGTCTCTTTAAGTGGCCTTGATCCTATGAAGAGAAGTTCTCTAAAAAGAAGGCCCCTGACCTATGCTGTGTCCTCAGCAACAGAGCAAGACAAAACAGAAGTCCAATGGGCTTCCTCACCTGGTGCCGGCAGTCGCCTCCTCACGGTAGCCTGGCTCTCCGGCGCTGCAGGGGAATGCTCAGGGCTCGGGGCACCCCGAGGGTCTGCGGCAGGTGGCTCCGGTGAAACTCCAGGTCCGCTGCTCACCTCCTCAGGCAGGGCTGCAGAGCCGCTCAGTAAGACTGCATCTTCTCTTTCTACCCTGTCACTTGGAGATCTGGTGGGTTCTGGTAGGTTCTGTTCTTCCTGAAAACTCTGGTTGTTCTCATGTTGTGTTTTAGCCTTTGGATAGTTCCCATAATTTGTCCCATCTGGACTGTCTGATTGATCATCTGTGTCTGCACTTCCTGTATCTATGGTTTCTACCCCTTGGTGGACGACGTCATTGAGACCAGAGGCAGAGTCTGGGGTCTGAGCTTCTTCAATGGTACTTTCGGGGACTGTGGTCTCCTGTGCCTGAGGACTTATTGATACGTCATTTTTCAAATCCTTTTGAGGGGCTATTGAGATAAAAATTTATAATTTTTATTGAAAAGAATTCCCTATTTTTTTGTAGTTTAACAAGGTCCCTGATTAATAATAAGGAGTATGTGTATAGATTTGATGGTTTACAGGCACTCTTCCCAAACAGTACTTCTCTTGATTTCTACTCAAGGTGGTTAAGAAGGACTTACTATGTGTTAATAAATCTAATAATACTAATGTAGAACTATTTTGAATGACAGAACCAAATTTTGGTAGTATTAAATACATCCTCTTCCCTAACAAAGTAATGAACCTAGGCAAAAATCGTCAAGAACAATTAAAACCGCTATGCAAAAAGCTGATGAGACATTTTATAATGAATGAACCAACTGATCAACCTTAATATCACAGAAAGAGGGAAAAAACAGACATCATTAACCTCCCAATTCAGTGCAATGGGAAGTACACTATACCACCTATGAAGTATTCTTGCCAAATGAACTGGTATCTGATCAAGATTCTAGAGCTAATTACTGGCTTCCATGAAATATATGGATAGAGGAACATATTAAATCATGCCTCAAAAAATTAACATAATTAATAATTACTATAATAAAATCGAGTATTGATTAAATATTTTTAAAAATCATGCCTCAGACTTATAATCGGTAAAATCCAAAATGTGAGAAATTCAAAGGGACAAAAGACTTTGTTTCTGAAATAACACCAAGAAATAAAAATGGCAAGAAAAGGAAAAAATAAAAAAAAGAAGGGTGACCTATTAAGAGAAACTTAAACAGAAGAAATATGTCAACCAAATGTGATGTGTGACCACCTATTTAGATCTAGTGTTGAACAAACTGTTGAAGAAATATTTATGAGATAATCAGGTAATCTGAATGCCAGATATTTGGTGATACTAAGGAATTACTGTCCATCTTTCAAGTACAATATATTGTGATAATTTTTTTAAAGATTTTACTCATTTACTTGAGAAAGGGAGTAAGAGTGAGTACAAGCTGGGGGAGCACCAGGCAGAGACAGAGGGAGAAGCAGACTCCCTCCGCCACCCCCCGCCCCCCCACCCTGCCCCCAGGAAGGGAGCGTGATACGGGCCTTGATCCCAGGACCCTGGGACCGTGACCATGTTCAAGTGACTGAGCCACCCAGGCGCCTCGGCGATAATTTTTTTAGAGTATCCTTTTTAGAGATAAGAATCGCATATTTAGGGGCGCCTGGGTGGCTCAGTGGGTTAAGCCTCTGCCTTTGGCCCAGGTCATGATCTCAGGGTCCTGGGATCAAGCCCCACATTGGGCTTTCTGCTTGGCAGGGAGCCTGCTTCCCCCTCTCTCTGCCTGCCTCTCTGCCTACTTGTGATCTCTGTCAAATAAATAAATAAAATCTTAAAAAAAAAAAAAATCGTATATTTATGACTAAAATTACATGATGTCTAGAATTTGCCTCCATTCAAGAATGTGGGAGAAAGGAGCAAGACTACAGATGAAATAATGTGTTGACAGCAGATGAAGTCATTTGATGGGTACGTGGGATTCATCTCATCTCCGTCTCCATGCTTATGTATGTCTCACATTTTCTATAATAAAGCTTAAAAAGAAAGCAACCTAAAAGATGTATCAATCAAATATAGTGAATAGTCCACTATTAAAAAAAAAAACCCCAACCCCAACTGTGGAGAAAAAAAAGATTACAGAGAAAAAAAAAGATATGAGGTAAGTGGGGAAATGTACATACTAATTAAATATGTTATGATATTAAGGAACAACTATTAATATATTTTTCAGGTGTCATATGCTATTTTGGTTACTTTTTAAAAAAAATCTATCTTTAAGAGATGTAAACTGAAGTATGCACAAACAAAACGATATAATGCCTTGGATTTGCATTTTAAATATTCCAAGGCAGGCAACATGATCAGCATTATAGGAATGCCTGGGTGGCTCAGCTAGTTAGGCATCTGCCTTTGGCTCAGGTCATGATCCTGGGGTCCTGAGATCGAGTCCTGCATCCGGCTCCTTGCTTGGCAGGGAGCCTGTTTCTCCCTCTGCCTGCAGCTTCTCCCCCTACTTGAGCGCACACACAGGCTCCCTCTCGGACAAATAAATAAAAAAAAATTTTTTTTAAATCAGCATTATGTAGGTTATAATTGAAATTTAGATGTTGAGGGGCGCCTGGGTGGCTCAGTGAGTTAAAACCTCTGCCTTCAGCTCAGGTCATGATCCCAGGGACCTGGGATCAAGCCCCCGCGTTGGGCTCTCTGCTCAGCAGGGAGCCAGCTTCCTCCTCTCTCTCTCTGCCTGCCTCTCTGCCTACTTGTAATCTCTGTCAAATAAATCTTTAAAAAAAAGGAAAGAAAGAAATTTAGATGTTGAAATTACCATATTGTTTGCCTGAAACTAGTATTACACTGTATTTCAACTAACTGGAATTTAAATAAAAACTTGAAAAAAGAAAAAGGAATTAGATGTTGAGTATGTGGGAATTCATTATAGTACTTTTATATATTTTAAAATACCCTCAATAAAAGTTTTAAGTAAATATGCCCTCTTTTGAAATATCTACTTCTTATTTTGCCTATTTTTATCTTCTACCTATACATACAAGCAAGATAAATAATTTAAATTTCATCTTTCCCTATAACTGAAAGTCGATGGAACATTAGTTTTCTTGATTTTTAAAAATATAACTCTAAAAATTAGTCTACTGTCCCTACCGTATTTTTCCTAGGTTTCTACTACTGGAATCTCTAAAACATTAATCTTCCTTATAATTCGGGTCGGATACTATGGTAGACTTCTAAATACAAAAGAATAAGAATAATCATACCAAACTATCAAACTAATCTTTTTTACTTCCGAACTTCAGGTTTCCATCATCTGAGATCCTCCCTTAGAATAGGTCTAGATTCCTACAGCACAAATCTGGACAAACCAGTGCTGTACAGACTAGTCTTACCCTCTGCAGGATCCCTAAGTCCTCTGTCCGCCATGTTTGTTTTCTAGCTCTTCAGACTTTGGGATACTTTTTGTTAGTGTCTGGTTTTTCTTGTGAAGATGTCTTGTTTTCTTCTTGTCCCAAGTCCCAACAGACTCATGCTTCCCGTGGACCCAGGAAACAAGGCATTTATACAGTGACTAAAATAAAATGAAAAAAATTAAATGACTTTTTATTCATACATGGAAGAAATGCCAATTTCAGCTTTATTTATTCAATCTGTTTAGTTTGAGTAATAGTTCCTCTTTGAAACGTTTCTAGTGAAGAAGAAATGTTTTCTGGCTTTGGTGAGGATCTTCAAATCCTTGACTACAAGTAGAAAAAAGCTTCAGATTATTAAATTTTGCATAGATGCCATAATCTCCTAATACATTCCAGTGAGTTGAAAGGATGGAAAATGCTAAATGACCAGAATCTTAAAGAGAATGTCTTTGAAAATGGAATAAAAAGTAATTCTAAGAGTAGACATTTAAGTCACTGCTCAGTTAATCATCGCTACAGATTTCCTTTATTGTCTTCAATTTCTGTCCCATACAAATCTCTCAGCCCATCAACAGCTTTCACTTATCATTACTAAATAACAATGCACAGGGAGTACACTTACAAACTAAGGTAGCTGCCTTAGTATCAGGAGTAGGAAATACACATTAGGAGTTTTATCATTGCCTTCTCAGAGATTCCCTCACAGTATTCTTTTTAGATCTCTTTAATGCCTTTCCATATGGTGCTCAAAGAAGACTGATGTATAATTATGAGTTATATACAAAAGGAATCAAAATCAGAGGCAATTCATAATCAATAAAATATTTCTATAATCATATATATTTTATATATAGCATATATATAATATATATAAATATTATATATAAAAATCACATTTTTTTTGTCAGGAACAATAATACCTAAAATTGCTTCACTTGCCTTATCTGTAAAAATGATTAAGGACTGCTATGAGGATTAAACACAAAAGTATATGTGAAAGAGGTTTGGAAAGGGTTACATTTTTGATGGCGTAGTTGAGAGGCTAGCCAGTTAACATTTTGTCTTTTTCACCAGCACTCCTCTGTAAAATTTAATTTTACAAGTTAAATACTTTAATCCCAAATGCCTAGTATAATGCCTAGGGTAAAGGAGACTCCCTATTTTAATTTAAAAGAATATGGATAAATAAATGTATGAATGTATAGAGTGGAGCCAATTATAAACGTGAAAGGAAGGGAGGAGTTAGAGACAGGCCTTCTTTCTGCTGGTGTAAACATTCAGAGAGAACATGTCTCAGATTTGGAGAGTTCATGGTCACCCTTTTATCTCTTCGATCTCCTAAGACTAGGCTTTCAACTCTACTTTTCATTAGCATGATATGTTGCAATGAGGGTTTCTCACCTATCCTAGGTTCATAATAGGAAATAAAAAGTCCCCAGTCTTTTTCAGATTTGTTAAAACACTTTTTTTCTGTTAGCCCAAACCAAGAAAACAATGGGTAAAACTTTCTTATGCACCAGTGACAAAAATTTTAGAAAGCAAAGATGCTATTCATTATAACAATAAGGAATCTCATCGTAAAAACTAAAAGATACCTGGTAATAAATCTAACAACAGATATGCAAGAAATTTAGAATGGGATGAATTTTATGGTATGTAAATTGCACCTCAATAAAGCTGTATTTTAAAAAAAAAGAACTTTAGGAAGAAAAGCATGAAACTTTATTGAAGGACATAAAAAAGACCTAAGTAGAGAGATACATCATGTGCATAGACAGTAAGACTAAACCATTGATGCCAATTCTTTCCAAATTAATCTATATACTCACTGTAAATTGAAACAAAATTGTAAGACAATTTTTGGATTGTTGCATGTTTCTTAGAGAATGGACAGCTGACCCTAAAATTCACACAGAGCAGTAAATGACTAAAAAGAGGTAAGATAATTCTGAGGGAGGGGGGCTATCTTTGCCCCATACATCAAGACTTATTATAAAACTTACAGTAAATAAAAACGATAGGGCAATGGTACAAGAACAAATAGAACATACAGAAGAGAGAGCCAGGAAATATATGCACACAGAGATAAAGGAAACTGGCTAAGCGACAAGAGGGAAAGAATGGATTAATGAGTAGTTTGAGGACAAGTGACAGTTTAAATGGGAAAAAAATAGATTTCCCCTGCCACCTGACACAAAATCAATTCCAGATTAGAGACTTACACGTAAAGAGAAAAATTTTCAATTTCTTTATAATCTCAAGGTTTTCTTAAAACAAGATATAAAATGCACAAACCATAAAGGGGAATTCTGACGTGATCACATTTTAAATGTTAATTTCTATACAAATCATCAAAATCGAAGTTAAAACATAAATTCACTGACTAGAAAAATATCAGCAACACATATAATCAGCAGGGGATTAATATCCAGAACACATAAAGACTCCTAAGAGACAGATAATGTTATGAAAAATTAAGTGGACAAAAGAGCTTAACAGTTTTAACAAATTGTTAAAACGAAGAGGAAACCTACCATTCTAATGAATCAATAAGAAGAGTGGTCAAGGAAATGCAAAACAAATTAATGACATACAACAGCTTTTTACAACCAGTGACTGGCAAAAATTTACAAATAGGGCAATACCAGGTGTTGGCGAGGATATGGATATACAGAGTTCTTAAATGCTACTGGCAACGAGGCAAACTGTTACAACTTTGGAGGGCAATATGGCAATATCTGGCAAAGTTAAGATGTGCATGTTCTACAAACTGTCAATTGCACTTTTAGATTTATGCCTCAGAGAAACTTTCCCGCAAGTGCCCACCGAGGTTGGTGGCAGCATAGTGTAAAATGAGCAGAAAAGAGAAAACCACCTAAATGTCCATTAATAAGGAAGTGGATTTTAAAAAACTGGTATATTCTTACAATGTAGTAGTATATATGGCAGTTAAAACAATGAATTACAGATCTCAAAAATTTGTAGAAGTACAGCATTATCATTTTTACATACAACTTAAAAAATAAATTTATACTACACAGTGTTTCAAAAGAAGTGAACAAATGGCATAAATAAGAACTACTGATACAAACCACAACACGGATATTATCTAAAAAGTGTAAGTGAAAGTCACACATAGAGGAGTATCATGCCAAATGATTTCATTTATATGAACTTCCAGAATAGGCAAATCATGGTCTATGGTGACAGAAGATCTAACAGTAGCTCCTGGGAAAGGGCATGAGGAAACCTTTTGGGGTTAAGAAAGTATCTCATATCTTTATTGAGGTGTTGGTTACATTTGTCATCAAACTTAAAATCTGTACATTGCATGTACCCTCAATAAACTTTATTTCCAGAACTGAACATTATTTCCAAAGACTGAATGCTTTCAAAAATACATTGCCTGCTAACTAGAATGCAGCCAATATACTTTCTGTAAAAGGAACCATCACAGATCTTCCTATCATCTTACAAATGCTCAGCATATACCTTTCTTGTCACGAGGCACACATTCCTGCAGCCCATTTCATTCAGACCTTTTGTAACATATCACTGTTCATAGCTGAAAGAGTATCCCCTCAAGGCTACAAGGAAGAAGTGGTATAAACATGGAGGTTCTCGACACATCCTTGCAAGAAGTCACATGGTGGTGCAGCTGGGAGATCTTGAGGCCACTATTCCCAAAGCAGGTCACCTTTTGAGCAGTGTCCAATCCATATGAGGAAATGGAACCTCTGGGCTGATTAATGGAAGTGAGGCAGAGCCTCATCCTGATGGAAAATGGGAATGTTGGAGACATTTTGCAGCGGCAGTAAAAACCCTTCCATAATCATGTCCACAAAAAGATTCCTTTGATGGTATCGTTTGCAAAAAGAACTGATGAAGACCCATGTGCTTCATATGGCACAAGAGATATTTACTTTCAGCAAATCCCTTACAAGTTTGTGAAATGTTGGTTTTCAGTGCCCCATACATGGATGTTATGATTCATTTTGCCACTTAAGTAAAACACAGCCTCACCAATGGTGACTATCTGCACTTCCCTGTGACCCTGAAGCCTGCAGCAAAAGTTGTACCATTTAACTTTAACAGTCTCTGCATGAAGGATAAAGCAATAAAGTTTTATTCTCCCTTTACGGAGAACGCCATAGATGGTATCCTGAGGGATGCCTTCCTTCATTTCCACATCCTGGGACTCCTCTAAATAGAGACACAAATTTGTCTCCCTATTTCCTCTGCTGCTGTGATTGCCTTGGGCTCTTTTAAGGTGTATCCTTTCTGTTCCTCCCATTGTACCAATGGTAATGCTCTGACAGCTTGGTATGTGTTCACTGACTGGTACACTGCCTGACCTTTGCACCGCAGCAATCCAACCAAGTTTAGTGGACTCCGACACACAAAATGAAGTGTCGTAAGGGGAACTCTACAAACCCCTGCACATTACATCTTTATGCACAAATGTTACTGATGTTACTGAGTAGTAACATATTTAAAGCAGTCAATTGTCTTTTATTGCTCTGTACCATTGTTTAAATACACATAAAATAAAAAATTAAACACAGGAACAGGAAGGATACACATCAGCTTCCATTTGATGCTTGCTTCTGCTGATGGAAGGACCGGAAGAGGATGAGGACAAGAACGGGTTCCAACTCTATTTGTCAAGTATCTTAAAAAAAAGAAACTGAGGCAAATGTAGCAAAACATTAATATATTTTAGATCTGGGTACCTGGTGAATGTTATTTTCTGGACTTTTCTATATGTTTGATATAGTTCATACTTTTTAAAAATGAGTAATACAATGTATCAGCCTCTGTGAGGAAAAGTAAGAATCAAAAGGCAGGGCCTATGATGCTAACTCTTTGAGCTCGCAAGCAATGACTTTATGTTACACAGGCACACTTCAACCACAGCCTCCCGTGCATTTTGTCACAACCAGCTGGGAGGAGACAGGACCAGAAAAAGCTGCCTGTGAGAACAGTATCAGGGCTGGGAGAGCAGCAGGACTTTACCCAACTTCTACTCATCCTGAAAACCTCTGGTCCCACCATGGGGATCAGGCAGGAGGGAGGGAGGGGACAGAGACCTAGAGGAGACCTGGGGAATAAGGGGGAGGTAGCAGGAAGCACTGGAATCTGTAACACTTAAGTGATAATTCTTTTTTTTTTTTTTTAAGGATTTTACTTATTTTAGAAAGAGGGAAAGCAAGAGGGAGCGTGAGTGAGCATGAGTGGGGGAGGGGCACAGGGAGAGAGAGAATCCCAAGGTGGGAATCAATCTCACGACTCCCGAGATCATGACCTGAGTCAAAACCAAGAGTCTGACGCTTAACCAACTGAGCCACCCCAGGTGCCCCTATGTGGTATATTAAAAAAAGAGAGAGAGAGAGAGAGTGAATCAGAAGCTTAGCAGCTAAGGACAAAAGAGAATCAGTCAATTCAAGATGGTAATTTAGATATAAATGCCATCATGACTAACATGGCAGTCAGGGCCCAATAAATACATATTTTCTTTTTTCTATTTTTAAACACTTTTTTTTTTTAAAGATTTTATTTATTTGAGAGAAAGAGACAGCGAGAGCAGAAACACAAGAAGGGGGAGTGGGAGAGGGAGAAGCAGACTTCCTGCCGAGAAGGGAGTCCTATGTGGGGCTCTGGGATCATGACCTGAGCCAAAGGCAGACACTTAATAGACTGAGCCACCCAGGCACTCCTGCTTTTATTTTAGTAAATGGTGTCATTTTAGGCTCTAGGGATAACAAGCAGGTATCCTGGCCCTCAAACCATTTATAATTCTGCTGTAGAGACAACATTCAAAACACACACAACAAAAATAACTGGTAACATTTACTGAGTGCCTTGTTTATGCCAACAGCATCCAAAGCACTTTATGTATTAATTCATTTAATTTCACAACAGTCTTATGAGGTCTGGACCATTAATATTCTTACTATTTTACAGACAAGGAAACTGACAAACACAGAGCTTAAGAACCTTCCCCAAAAACACAACTAGTAAAGGCAGAGTCAGGATTGGAACACAATCTGACTGTGTGACCCAAGCTTTTACCCATGCCACTAAAAAAACAAACAAAAACCAAAACAAAAAATGCCTATTGTAAACATAGTATAAAGCGCCCGGTGTCTAGTTCTGAATTGTGACTCTGGCTCCTATGACCTGGTTCAACCTACACATAATCTTAAAGTTTTCTCAAACTGCTTGTTTTGGTGCTGCGTAAAGTCTCAGGTGATGTAGTAAATCACACAGCAATTACATCTACTACAATAATGACTGTCAACGAGCCTGAGAAACGTGATAAGGATTTGCTTGGGGTCCTCCATCCCTGTAGCCTTGTCTTTACACCTAAGACGTACGGCTTAACTCAACTACAGACTCACAGTTATCTTCACTGGAAGGTACTGGTCCTTCATTGGAAGGGACTTAAGAAGTTTCCAGTAATTCAGCATCAAGCTCTAACAATTGGCTTTAATCCCTCTTTCTGCCTCATTCTCCTGTACCTTTTCTAGTTCTAAAGACTTACTACGTGCCCTAGGATTGGCATGTATTATCCCATTTCAAACCCAGAGTAGAAGGTAGATATTACTGTACTATCTATGTGGCAGATAAAGTAACTGGAGAGAGAGAGGCTAAAATGCCCAAACTCATCTAATAGTACTAGAATTTGAAAACACACACAGGTCAGCTGGTTGCAAGACCATTATTTTTCCTATATAATAAGCAGTTTTCATGCTGTGTTCTCAGGACTTCGTGGACAATCCAGGGCCATCAGGGAAGACTGAAGAAACAAAAGGGGTATGGTTCATCTCACTCTTACAGATAAGTGTATCCTGCTGATTGCTACACATTCTTTGGATTCCATGGAATTCTTTTATGCTTCTCTGCTTGCCTGGGCTTCTTTCTCCTCCTATCACTTAAGAGATAATCTTAACTCAGTTACCCCCAATACAGGAGAGCCTCCTCTTCAATAAGGTTATTTCCTTCCCAGGTTACCCCAGCACATGTCTCTCAATATTCCACTCCCAGGTCTGCCATAAAATAACTGGAAGTGGTTTTAACAGTCATTTTAAAAATGGCCACCAATCCATGTAAGTAATATTATCAATTCTGCCACAGTATGAAGATGATTAATACGACTCATATAATCTAAAATAGCGGATAACCCTCTACATCATTTGTTGTGAGACTTAATTTTAGGAATATATTTATACTTTATAATTCACTATCTGGAATCATGAATTGGAACATTGTGGAGTACTTTAAGCCAAGTAAAGTCATACTGAGAAGACCAAAGCAGAAGAGCTTCAAAGTCTTCTGGATTTTCTGCTTTGCTCCATTTTATGAACTCTGCCACATTATGTTATTTCTGAGAGCTGACCATGTAACAGGTTATGCGATAATACAATCATGTCTGAAGGTATTCTTAAAGTAATTTTTAATATTTTTGATTCCTCTCTCCTGTCCATATACTCACAAAGCTTAGAATGACACCACACAGAACTACAGCAGTCCTGATTATTTTAATGAGAAACATGTGACTAATAATCTGAACTAGGACAGTGACCTACCTGCAGTCCTACAGGAAACCTCTTTATGTGGTAACAGCAAAGTACAAGAACTATCAACACCTTGTGGTATTATGAGTACTCAGTTCCCATCCTTTGAAGCCAGATAACTAAACACCATGGAGGTGCTACTGTTGTACTTCTCGAAGTAGCCACAGAGCACCTGGGTAAGAATCTCCTGTACCACTACTTAGAAATGAAGATTCCTGGGCCCTGTGAGCAACCTAAGGAATCAAAATTTCTCTAAGATCAAGAAATTTACATGTTTTGACAAACTCATCCAGGTACTGATTTGGAAATCAACAGTACAAATCTGTCTACTTTTTCTTAACTATTTAAAGGAAAGACTGGTTAAAACAATCTTTGGTTCAAACATTTTGCTGAGGGGCACCTGGGCGGCTCAGTGGGTTAAGCCTCTGCCTTCAGCTCAGGTCATGATCTCAGGGTCTTGGGATCGAGCCCCGAGCCCTGCTCTCTGCTCAGCAGGGAGCCTGCTTCGCCCTCCCTCTCTGCCTGCCTCCCTGCCTACTTGTGACCTCTCTGTCAAATAAATAAAAATCTTAAAAAAACAAAAAACCATTTTGCTAATACTTAAAACTGCACACATGTAGAGTGTTTGTCAGTATGTGTTTGAAAAAAATTTAGGGACCAATAATATTGGTCAAAAGCGTTACTTCTAAGTAAATTTTCACTTTTTAGAAAGAGCTTTAGTACCGTAAAGGAGTTCTTAACCGAGGGTTAATGATAAACTAACTCGTCTTCACTCAATTTAGCAGTCCACACAGTTTATTCCGCATTAACAGGAGAGAGCTTCCATTGCAACAGACATAAGGCAGATACAGGGTAGATCTCTGGGGTACATCCTTTATACAGATGAACAAATAACTTTAAGTTTCACAACATGTGGCCGGCATGATTTGTTGCATACCAACAGCCATTCATTCCTCCCTTCTCCCTTCCTAAAAGGGCCATGATTTTTATTAGGGGAGACTACGTGCCCTACCCACCCAAGCACTGCTAACCCCATCCCCCTTTGCCAGGTTTCCCCAGCTTATGAACCAGTACTTTCTAATGACACATAAGAAGAAATCTGTGAGGGACTTTTAAGATTTTTTTTTTCCCCCCAAATAAAAGACACAGACGTGAAAGGCAAAAGCTTTTGCTTCCTACTTCCAGCCTTTGGGAATGAAATGTCTGAATAGCCAATAGCCACACTTAGCTCACCGAGGAAACAACTATGAGGACAAAAAGCCACCATGATAAGGGCCCCAGTGGCGAAGAACAGAGCGATCCTGGGACCTTAGAACAGAGCTGAGCTGCTACACAAGCAACGGATTATCTAGGACCTTAGGCGGAATTTAAAAATTGTTCAGTGGCCTCTGAGATGTTTTCAACAGATAGTCTAAGTTTTCTCGTGTACTCTAAGTTCCATGATTCTCATCAAGTGAAGGCCAGCATGTGGTCAATGTCCAGCAAGACATTCTTAGTTCTCAGAAAGACGCTTCCTTTAGACCATTCATCTTGTCTGTGGAGTCAAGCTTGATAACTCCCTGCCACCTATGTCATGGCACAAGTACTTTTCCATTTCCAGGGGAGGACATTCTAAGTTCACTCACCACTAAAACAGGACAGCCTTTGCTTATGTGGCGTCAAGTAAGTAAAGACAGTGGCATTTCTGCATGTTTTTGTGTATCCTATGTAGGTATTACCCCTGGTTGATGTATGAGAGGTGGAATTTAGAACAATGCAGTTTCTAATCAAAGTATCTAGCGGTTTTACTGGAATAATCTATAATCCAGCTACAAAGTTGCTTTCTCTGTAACAAAAGTTATCACTAAAAGTATCATTATGGTACACACAGTACAGGGCCTCTCCTCCAAGACTATCCTGTCATAGATCCATAATAAGGCTGTGGAGCTTTTTAGGATGGGGAAGCTAATTCCAAAACATGGGGAACACAGATTAGACTGGTTCTAGATGAACAGCCCGACTGGAATACGGATTAAATTCATGCTGAACAAAGTATGTGTAGACAATGGGAATAGATCCAACAATTTAAGCAGTTCCCCAAGGTAGTGACAGTTTAGATCAGATTTAGAAAGGAGACATTTTCCCATTCTCCCTTGGGCTACTAGTACAGACTCGAGAGTCTCCATGGTTTTGACTGCTTAAGAAGTTACTTGTTTTGGCCAAGTTTTTTGTTCAAGGTTTTGTCCGTTCTGGTCAAGATTAACTGCAATGCAGGGTTAAAGCCAGCTACTCTAGAGTCATGTATCCTTTTTCTAACCAGTGGAGGACCCAGAAGAAACGGGTGGCAAGCTTTTTCAAAGGTCCATCTGGTAAGATTTTGGGGGGCCCACTCAAGTGGAAAAGACCAAGGTAGAACAAGGCTTCTGTTAGCAGGATTATCAGGGTAACATTCAGGGCAATAATCAGCTCTGTTAATGCGGTCTAAGAACACCTGGTAACATTCATTTTCAACAAGCTCAGTTTGGTACAACCAGTGGCCTAGTTCTAAACTAGGGAACCACTGTTGTCCACAGTCCGGGCAATGTGAATTATCTGAGAACATCTGGGCCTAGAGCGGTAACACAGAAACCAACGTAACAGTAAATGGCAACAATGACAAAGATACCCAAATAACCAGTCCTAGTACAGGTCTGGTAGAGCAATTTCTCAGTCCAACCAACGATACTTGGCGACCGGAGTTAAATTTGGCTTGCACCTCCGTGCAATTCTTCAAGATGTCGTTGTCTATTTTTCACTCAATTGCAACTCAGTCTCTGAACTCAGGGGCCGATCCGTCTACAATGTGATCAGTCACTCACTAGCAGCACAGATTCAGAATAGCTCCTTCAAATCCCAGCTTCTCGAGAAAAGACAGGGCTCTAGTCTAAATTGGTTATTTTTTCTTGTGTGTTATCAGCTGGTGGTGTCATGCAGAGGCACTTGGCTTACTCTGCTTTGCTGGTAAGTTATTATATCTGCTTGGTGAAACAGAGCAGCTGACAGGTCCAAAGGGTCTTTTGTGGGCGCTGGCACTTGCCGTTGTAATACACGTACCCAAGTCTTAAGGCCTTGGCACTTTACAGCGATGTAGGGGGGTCAGGAAAACCTGGTAGAGTCCTCTTGAATGTGGATCCAATGAAGTCTTTCTTGGGAAGACCTTAATCGGGACCCAGTCACAGAGAAGTAGCTGATGCTGAGTTGGTTGAAGCCTCTGGGAATGCTTCACAACCTGTAAATGATAAAACTTCAGACGACTCATATGGGCTTTGAGTTGCTCATATTATTATTAGAAACATGCATTTGGAAATCATTTGGACCAGTCAAGGTGGATGAAAATCGTCTTGTGGGTCTTTTTATGACAATTTCATAGGGGTTCGCACCAATTTATCCATTGGCAGTTATTCTTATGCTTATTTTGGGCACTAGGAACAGTTTTTTGGTTCACTTAGGATTCATACTAGATTGGGAGGCCTGGGTGGCTCAGTCGGTTAAGCGTCTGACTTCAGCTTAGGTCATGATCTTCAGAGTCCTGGGACTGGGCCCCAGGTGGGGGTCCCTGCTCAGTCAGGAATCTGCATCTCCCTCTCCCTGCTCATGTATGCACTCACGCTCTCTAAGTCTCTCTCTGTCAAATAAATAAAATCTTTTAAAAAACTTCTATACTAGCTTAAAATTTTTAGGACTGTATTTCTTTTTTCTAAGTCCTTCTGCACTCCAGTAATCGTAGTCTATATAATCATATTTAATCTAGTAAAACTCTTGAGATTTCTCGTGTATCTTTTCTGTGAAATGGGTACCATACATGGTATTCCTATAATGTGTGGACTAACTTTAACAATGGTGACAGCTTTTCTATAATATACTTTAATCCATCCAGGAAAATGCTTACAAAATCATCAGGAAATATTCTTAATAGCCAACTGTAGGAAGTTGGGAGGAAATCTTTCTGAAGGCTAAAAAAGAAAACAAGAGGGGTATGTCTCATTACCCATATCTATCTTCATAGGTTTATGCACATTATATATTTAAGAAAGAAAGAAAGGTATAATCTTGAGCAATAGTTCTGAGCAATTTTTGGAAAATATTTAGAAAATCAGTTGGAATTTGCAGATGCTATCATTATTTTTATTCTCCTTCATGACACTTAATATAACAAGTAAAAAAAGGTGGGGTTCTAGATGTATGAACAACTACATAGCCACCTAGGGAGTGCTACGTATCAGAAAACAACATAAACCTTGCTTTTCTCCAGTGCTCTTTTTTGTGAATTCTGAGGCTTGATCCTGTGAGAGCATGTACAGACACTGGGCAAGGCATGAGTGCTAAAACTTTATAAGTATTTGGCCTGGAACGCAGAGCAGTGACAGCCTTAGTTGTGGTCAAAGCATCTTCCTTCCAGACCATCAATAGTAGCTGTGACTATCAGATTTTAAAATGGAAGTTTAAAAAGGCAACCAAAAAGCCTCTCTCTGACAGTGCTGCAACACAGAGCTCCTATTCTGATGAGAGCCCAGGCTGAGGTGAGGCAGTCAGTGAAGGTGCATTGAAGTATCTTCTGAGGTGAGATGACAATGTGTGGGTGTGGGCTACCAACTCAGCTACTCAGGCATAGTTAACAGAAGGTGGGGCAGGGTTCCTGACTCAATACCTTCGTAGTGACAATACCGGGCATAAAAGATTTCCCCAAGGGCCTACTGACAAGAGCCACCACAGTAAAAGTTTCAGTTGCTGAATTGGGAAATCTTCCATGTTTAGTACCTGGCACAGACAGATGATGAATAAAACCCACACAACCATGGGGTTCAACATAAAAGTTAGTAGTAAAGTTATATGGCTAAGTCTAACGTCGAAAAGATAAAGAATTTTGGATTTTTTGAGTGAAAAGGGGATATGCAATTGAAATCACAACAAGATACTATTTCACATCCACCAGACTGGCAAAAATTAACAAGGCTGACAACTGGGGCTGTATATACTCTAGGCAAAACCACCCTCAGGATTCCACATCTCCACTGGCAGTGTCAGGAGGGAGGCCTAAAGCTGCAAATACTCAGAATAAACCCACCTTTCCCCCAACTTTTATCTCTCCAACTTCAACAGTCAACAAAGCATTAGAGCTCCAAATACTCCTCCAATTAAGAGAATTCTAGTGTTCCTTATGTTTCAGACAAGACAGCCCCTCCCCTGGTCCTCTAAAAACCACTACGGGCAAGTGTCAAAAGGGGACCCCAAAGCACTAAGTGCTCACATTAAGATTACTTGCCACCATCCTCCTTGCTCACTCTTAGCCTTACCACTAACGGATGAGTGAAGAGGGCCTCTTGAAAATGGTCCCGGCGTTATCCTCAAACCCCACCCCACCCCCACTCACTGCTTCGCTACCCTTATAGCCGACCAATCTCGTATCTCTGTTTATACTGACTACTAAAGGAAGCCCAGGGCTTCCTGGTTGTACCTCATCCCCTTAATCTCTAATCCCCATATACAGCCAAGAGCAGCCAAGGCAACATCCCCTTTTCCTTGCTTTATATTTTCCATTTTGATATATTAAATATTTTAGCTCTTTGTTTCTACAAAAATACACTCCTTGAGAACAGCACTTTTTGTCTTTATTTACTGTTGTACATGACCAATAAACATAAAAAGAATGAAAAAATATAATGTGAATCCTTATACCATAGAAGCATAAATTAGTACAACCATTTTTGGAATTAATTTGGCATTATCTAGTAAAACTGAACATATACGTGCCTCCTATAACTCAGTAATTCCACTCAAGTATAAATCCTAGAAAATTTGCACATTTGTGCTTAAACATGTGAATGAAAATATTAATGGTAGTACTGCGTGCAGTAACAAAACAGCCAAAATGGCCATGGACACTAAAATGGATAAATAAATCGAGGTACAGGCATACCTCGTTTTACTGCACTTTCCTGTGCTTCTCAGATACTGTATTTTCAAAGCATGAAGGTTTGTGGCAACTCTGCATCACCAAGTCTGTCCGCACCATTTTTCCAACAGTATTTGCTTGCTTTGTATCTCTGTGTTACATTTTGGAAATTCTCACAGTATTTCAAACTTTGCCATTATTAATTATATTTGCTATGGTAATCTACGATCAGTGATCTTTGATGTTATGACTGTTACTGTTTTAGGGTATCTGAGACCATACCCGTATACGACTGTAAACTTGATAAATGTCTTTTTGTGTTCTAACTAACTCACTTGCTCCCCGACTCTCTGTTCCCCCATCTCTCTCCCTCTCCTCGGACCTCCCTATTCAGAGACACAACAGTACTGAAATTAGGCCAATTAATAAAACTACAATGGGCCCTAAATGTTCAAGTCAGAGAAAGAGCTGCATGCCTCTCACTTTAAATCAAAAGCTAGAAATGATTACACTTAGTGTGAAAAGCATGTCCAAAGCGGATAGGCTGAAAAACAAGGCCTACTGCCCCAAACAGCTGAGCTGTGAATGTGAAGGAAAAATTCTTGAGGGAAATTAAAAGGGCTGCTCCAGTGAACACACACATGATAACAAAGTGAAACAGCCTTCTTGCTGATATGGGGAAAGTTTAAATGGTTTGGTTTGAAGATCAAACCAGCCACAACATTCCCTTAAGCCAAAACCTAATCCAGAGCAAATCCTCTCTTGAATTCTACGCAGTCTGAGAGACGGGAGCAAGCACAGCAGAAAGCAGAAGTCTGAAGCCAGCAGAGGTTGGTTCATGAGGTTTAAAGAAAGAAGCTGTCTCCGTAACATAGTAACAGTGCAAGGTAACTCAGCAGGTGCTGATGGAGAAGCTGCAGCACGTGGTCTGGAAGATCTAGCTAACTTACTGAATGAAGGTGGTTACACTAACAGCAGATTTGCAATGTAGATTAAAGCAGCCTTCTACCAATAAGATGCCATCTGGGACCTTCAGAGCTAGACAGAAGAAATCAATGCCTGGCTTTAAAGGACAGGCTACTCTTGTTAGAAGCTAATGCAGAGGCGACTTTAAGTTGAAGCAGCCACTGCTCATTCCAAAAATCCTAAGGCCCTTACGAATGATGCTATATCTACTCTGCCTGTGCTCTAGAAATAGAAAAAAAAGCCTGAATGACAGCACATCTGTTTACAACATACTTTACTGAATATTTTAAACCCACCGTTGAGGCCTACTGCTCAGAAAGAGATTTCTTTCAAAATACTACTGCTCCTTTAACAATGCACCTGGTCACCCACGGGCTCTGAGGGAGATGTACAAGGAGATTAATGTTGCTTTTGTGCCTGCTAACACAATGTCCATTCTGCAGCCCACAAATCAAGGAGTAATTTAGACTCTCAAGTCTTATTACTTCTGAAATATGGCTATGGCTGCCACTGGAGAAGGATTCCTTTCATGAATCTGGGCAAAGTAAACTGAAAACTTTCTGGAAATGATTCACCATTTTAGATGCCATTAAAAACATTCCTGATTCACGGGAAAAGGCCGAAATCAACATTAATAGGATGCTGGTAGAAACAGATTCCAATCCTTATAGATGACTGAGGGGTTCAAAATGTCAGTCGGAGGAAGTAACTGCAGATACGATGGAAACTGCAAGAGAACTAGAATTAGGAGTCAAACTGAAGAGGTGAGCAAATTGCTTTAATTTTGTAATAGAACTTCAATGGATGTGAAGTTGATTCTTATGGATGAGCAAAGAAAGTAGTTTCCTGAGATGGAATCTATTCTTGAAGATGCTGTGAAGACTGTTGAAATGACAACAAAAAAAGTTAGAGTATTACATAACTTCGTTGATAAAGCAGTGGCCGGATTTAAGAGGATTGAGTCCAGTTTGAAAGAAGTTCTACTGTGGGTGAAGTGATGTCAAACAGAATCACACGCTCTACGGAAATCATTCATAAAAGGAAGACCCAACTGATGCCCCAAACTTCACTGGTGTTTTATTTTAGGTAATTGCCACAGCCCCCCCGGCCTTCAGCAACCGTCACCCTGGACAGTCAGTAGCTATCAACATTAAGCTAAGACCTTCCACTCATTAAAAGCTCAAATAACAGTCAGCATTTTTTTAGCAATAAATTATTTTTTAAATTAAGGTATGTACATTTTAAAAAAACACAATGCTACTGCACAATTAATGTACTACAGTACAGTGTAACTAGAATTTTTAGGTACTTTGACTTGACTCCCTTTACTGAGATCCTTGCTTTACTGCAGTGATGAGGACAAAAAAACCCTCATTATGGCTATACAGGGAATACTGTACATACAGACACAGATGAAACTCAAGAATATTAAGCTAAAAAAATTAAAAGTAGCAGAACACCCCATTCCACCCACCCACACACTTATACAGTTTGCATTTACATTAAATTCAATATATTATCTAGGAATATTCAATAAAACTATAAAAGAATGAAGGATTAGCAAAGGACGACCCTTACCATTGATGGGAGAGGAAAGGGGATAGGGCTGGGGAGGGCATACTAATACATTTCAAAGATAATAATCTGGGGGGATGGGCAGATGGAGTAACTGGGTGATGGACATTAAGAAGGGCATGTGATACAATGAGCACTGAGTGTTAAATGAGACTGATGAATCAGTAAACTCCATCTTTGAAACTAGTAATACACTGTATGTTAGTTAATTGAATTTAAATAAAAAAATTTTTACAAATATTAATTTTTTTTTTAACTCAGTGGAGGTACGAGGTACGAGGTTCATTGTATCACAAGTTGTTAATGGCTTACAGAATCTCTATTCAATATGTTATAATTTTAAAAAACAGTAGAGTAGAAATAGCAATGGGCTAGAAAGAGAGATTTAGCAAAACCAGAATTCCACATTGTGGACAAGAAGAGCAGGAGTAGTTACTTTGCCCAGAGGGTAAGTAACATACAGAGGATAAAAGCCTACAGAAGGATATAGATGCGGGCACCTGGGTGTCTTAGTCTGTTAAACATCTGCCTTCAGCTCAGGTCATGACCCCAAGGTCCTGGGATGGAGCCTGCTTCTCCCTCCCTCTGCCACCCCCTCCTGATTGTGTTCCCTCCCTCCCTCCCTCAAATAATTTTTTTTTTTAAAGGAAGGATACAGATCTTCATTTTTCTCATAAAATTGTAAGCAACTATCTCTTCATAGAAATAAAAGAAGCCTACCTGATGCTGGTGTGGAAAAGAAAGTTCATCTAAGCATATTCCCATAAAGGCATGCATCTGCATGCAAGGACACATGGTGACTTTGTGCTAAATTAGAAAAAAGAACTCTTCCTGCAAGTAAGCTGTAGCCCAGAGAACCTCACGTAGCCCAGTATTCCACAGTAATCCTTTGTCTGTTAGATAATAAGGCTTACTAACAATAACACCAAGTACCACTACCCATTCTAAGCACTTTACATATATTAACTCATGTAATCCTTACAATAATCAATTTTATAGTTAAGGAAACAGAGGTTGAGCAACTTGCAAAGGTCACAGGTCACTGCAGAGAAATCAGTATCTGAATCCAGGCAGACTGGTTCCAAAGCCTGTATCTTAACTACCAAAGAGAGTACCTTTTTGTTTAATTACATAAATGTTTTTTTTTTAAATTAACATATAATGTATTATTTGCTTCAGGGGTACAGGTCTATGAATCATCAGTCTTACAGAATTCACAGCACTCACCATAGCACATACCCTCCCCAGCGTCCATCACCCAGCCACCCTATCCCTACCCACAACGCCCTGCAACCCTCAGTTTGTTTCCTGAGATTAAGATTCTCTTAAGGTTTGTCTCCCTCCCTGGTCCCATCTTCTTTTTTTTTTTTTTTTTTTTTTAAGATTTTACTTATTTGACAGAGAGAGAGAGAGAGAGAGAGAATGAGCACGAGCTAGCTCACAAGTAGGCAGAGAGGCAGGCAGAGAAGAGAGGGGGAAGCAGGCTCCCCGAAGAGCAGAGAGCCCGATGCGGGGCTTGATCCCAGGACCCTGAGATCATGACCTGAGCCGAAGACAGAGGCTTAACCCACTGAGCCACCCAGGCGCCCCCCATCTTCTTTCATTTTTTCCCCTCCCTTCCCCCCATGACCTTTTTGAAGCAGGAACAGTTAAGCTTTAAAAAACCCCTTCAAAAACTGTTTGCTACTCTTCAATGGTGTGTATGTACTGAGGTACGGGTGGAGAAAATCACCTACCACAATTTTCCATTTCCAGACAAAAAATCTAGGATAGGTTTAGGGAGTCCTGAATCCCTTGAAATTACATCAAAATTTTTTATGTACACTTGTGCTTTTTTTCTGGAAAGAGAATAGATACTTTTAAACTCCCCAAAACCATTAGGTTGTTAATGGTTCCTAATCATTTTACTACCAAATGTAATTTTTATTCCAGCACATCCCTCCTCAGATCTCATTTTGGAAGGATGTCTAAACAATGAGCATTCTTCCAATAATTTCATTTTCTCATTTTTTTATTAATCAGATGTCTGCCAATGTCAATCTGCCAATCAAAACTTCAAAGAAGATAATTATTGTTACTTGCCCTAGTTTAGAAATTTTCAGTATTTTAAACTGCAGATAAATATTCAAAATGCCTCTATCATAAAGTCGGAAAGATTTAGATATTCCGGATTTGTTTCCTTCCTCAACTCGTTGTTAGCTTATGTTAAAAGCAGTTGATTTAAAGTAAATATATGATTACTTACTTGGCTCGCAGAAACGCTGAAAATACCTTGACAACCACCATTCCTCTACTGATTATTAAACGTAATTGTTTAAGTTACCCAGGAAACTAACCATGTAGTTGGCTCAACGCCAAGTACTATGGATATATAAAGAAAAATCTTACAGGACTTCCAGATGTCCAGGGAATCCAGATTGGAAACAATACTTTGGGTAAAGGTTAAAAGTCTTCAGATGGATATTAAAAGACTGCATGTAGAGTTCATAGGAAATTCTGGAAGGCCCACAGAAGAAGCAAGGTTTTCAAACCTTTTAACCAGCAACAGTGGGTAAAAACCAAAGTTTAAAGAGTTTCCCTACTACACAAATGCTATACAACAGGAAAACAAAAATCAGGTTTTTCTGTGTGTAAGAACTACAGTAAAGTTAGGATTCTTCCTGAAATTTTGGAGACAATTTAGAAAATAGCACTTTAACTGCAGAATGAAAATGCAATTCTAACCCACTGAAATCTGTATCTACTAATAACGGCAGCTTAATACAAATTAAATATTTATCTTCTCTAAATATTCTATTTCATTCTTTGCTATTTCCTGAATGGCTGTTAGTAAGCAAGCTCAAATCTGCCTTTGTCAGACAAAAATTCTCTTGTTCTTTTTATAGTAGGATAATGTAAGTCTCAGACTGAGTCAGGATTGGGGTGACTTCTCCAGGCAAACATATTCCTTAGAATTCAGCCTCCACTAACTCTTTAAATATATAAAATCAGAAGACAGATATACAGAAAAAAATATAAAAATATAAATTAAACCATGAGTTCCCATTTTAATTATTTTCTTCCATGGAGTATTATATTCTAAGGTTAACCAATTAAAAAAAAATAACTCTTTTTTATATGAGACAATTTCTCTGCTAAGTTTCATACACAAAGTCAAACCATTCAAGTTTCATATTTTGTAAGTAGTTTGGAATTTATAGGCAGGAGATTAAGGAGCACGGGGATAAACAGGAACGTTCTTTTTAAGTTCTCATAAATCTAAAATAATTGTGTTAAATATATCATGAAAATAAATGCTCCTTAGAAAGTCTTCAGACTGCTTTGTGAGAAACTATTTCTAATTTGGCAGTGTTGGAATCAGTGAGAAAAGACATATGGATGACAATCTTCACAACTTACCATATACACTGTTCCCTCTTATAAAGAACACATGAGCCAAACAAACAAACAAATAAACAAAAAAACAATCCTAAGTTAGAAAACAGCTGCCTCTCACTCTGGCAACTGACAGACAAAACAGGTGTATGTGTGGCCTGCAAGCATACCTACAACAGAACAGCTGCTTCAGACATTTATGCGTACATTTCAATTGACCTTGCCCTAATGGCCCAAAAGTCACGGTTCATATTCAAACACCAGCAGTAAAATCTTTAAGGTTAATACACAACTTCCAATAGTGGGACCTAGTGCCAAGTTCGGGTATTTCTATTCCTATACGTATGCTATTTGTGTCTGTGTTTAAAACTAAATTTCTAAGTCTTGCTCACTCCTCTGGACTGTATTTATTGTCATAATATGCCAGTATTATTCTCTATCTCGTAAAAAAACTAAAATCTTAAATAAAAAAACCAAGAAACTAACATTGGTACACATCAGTTAACTAA